GTGAAGGGTAGTAACCCCACAAATCCCCCCCCCCCGAGCTCAGCCTGTTTTTCATTGAGTTGGCATGGATTTCCACTTTGAAAACCTGGCTGGGGGTGAAAAGCTAAACATTCCCTTTATAGAGACAAGGGAGAACCAGTTGTGGAAATGCCTCATCGACCTTTGCTGAGAAAAGTGTCTTCTGCTGTGTACTTCTACCCATACAATTAAGGGTCAGGATTTCCTTGGGAAAGGGAGAGAAGGCTGTGGCGTGGGGGTTCAGGTGCAGACTTGGACCTGGGAGACTCATGTTTCAATCCCCACGTTTTGGCAAGTTCATAGGACGTAGCTCTGAAGCTAATTTGAACAAACTTATAATGGCAAATGAAGAAAGCAACACAAGATAAAACACAAATTCCTATATGTCAAGTAAAGCCTTTGGACCAAATCACATGATACGCTCCACCACGTGTCAGGTGACGGGTATGCGACTGGACTCACACAACCCTACATCTGGGGAACTCACTTTAAGAAACGTATATTCACTCAGCACTGGGGGGGGGGGAGTTTGCACTTCCCTCCCACCTCACTTTCCCCAGTGGATAGAGTGGCGGGTGGGGGTGGGGCTTGCCGCCTCCTTTTCCTGGCTCCACATGGGCTTCGAGGCGCTTCCTTGAAGATAACTAACTTTCAGAACTTAAATATTAGGAGCCGCCACTAATAACATCAACAACACCAACAATGCTAACTGAACTGTAATGGCCCTTCTACTGACATCAATAGCCAGCTATGCTGGATGCCGACGGGGGCCATTTTTGGGCATATTCCATAATGGCCTCAGGGACGCCATCGCCACCAGCACTTTATTTTATTTTGTATTATGAATTGGTATGTTTTGTATTTATGATGCTGTATTGTATAAGCACGTGTGTTTAATATATTTTTAACCAAAGCCCAGCAGGAACTCATTAGCATAATAGGCCACACCCAACAGCAGGAACTTATTTGCATATTATGCAACATCCCCCCCATGCGTTCCCTTGGCTTGCCCGGGTGCCCTGCGACTGCGGGGGGCCGGGGAAGGTACGGGGAGGCATTTAAATAGCTCCCCAATCCTTCCAGGCGCATTTAAATGCCTCCCTGATCCTTCCAGGGCCCCCCCTGCTCCAGGCCTTTTGTCTGCAGACATTCACACAGAGGTTTCGGCTGTAGTGGGCGTGGCCAACTCGGAAGCCAGCCGGAACTCCGTTCCTGTGCGTTCCTGCCCAAAAATAGCCCTGTTTCTAACTTTTTACTGTAACCTGCCCTGAGTCTGCCTTTGGTGGGGAGGGTGGGGTAAAAATGGAATAAAATAAACAAATAAATAATAAATAAAAAGGAACAGCCACCTTTTGGGAAGAAGGATAGGATAAAAGTATCATATAGACCGCTTCCTTAAAGATTAGCTGTGCCCAAGTCCTATTGACACCAAGCTGGATATATGTCGTCTGGCTGCGAACACCTGACTTTATTTTCTTCTCCCCACACAAGTGTGTTCAGGGTGGGGCCACAGACTCTCAGTCCTAAAGCTTCGCAGTGGCACCCCTGCAAGTCCTTCCTTGCAAGAGGAAGAGTGTGGCTGAAATTCTCTGTGCCTCACAGATAAGGGAGCTGAAAATGGCGCTGAGCAGACCAGCTCCGTGCGCCACCAGCATCAGAGAAGCCTCCTGACCCCAAAAGGAAAGCACGACAAGTGGAAGAACAGAGCAGAGTGATTCTGGGATCCAGCCAGTTGTTGGCGCCACCCCCCTGGAGGAATGGATCGGGAGGTGTGGCTTATGAGGGGCTAAAACTGAGGGGAGCATGGTGCTTGGGCCTGAACAGCCCCTCTCATTCAAGCCCTGCCCACCCGCCCCTCCAAGAGAGTGCCCACGAGACTCATGGCCCCAGTTAGTGGCTTCCTCAGATCCAGAGCTGCGGTGGCTCAAGTGGTTAAGACGCTGAACTGCAGGCTGTGGAAAGTCGGTAGTTCAGCAGTTCAAGACCTGGGTTGCCGCATGACGGAGTGAGCTCCCGTCTCTGGTTCCAGCTCCTGCCAACCTAGCAGTTCGAAAGCAAGAAATTGCAAGTAGATAAATAGGGACCACTTCGGTGGGAAGGTAACAGCGTTCTGCGCGCTTTGGTGTTTAGTCATGCCAGCCACATGACCACAGGAATGTCTTCAGACAGCGCTGGCTCTTCAGCTTTGAAACGGAGATGAGCACCGCAACCCTAGAGTCGGATTCGACTGGCTTTCGAGCAAGGGAACCTTTACCTTTAAGTACCCAGAACCTGCTCCCTCCCCTCTCTAAAAGACCTCTGAGAGGGAAAGAATCCCCAACCCAATCCCCCCCCCCGCATCCTGTACGCTCTGCTTCCTCCTGGAGTGGTTCTGGTTAAGAGAATGCCAGTCCAGTTTCACCTCATTTTCCAAACTTAACTTGCTTCTCTCTGCATCTAAGGGGCAAGGGGAAAACCATAACCTTCTCTCCCCCTTCTGGCCTCTGCGGGGCAAATGCCAGACAAAACCAGCCACGCTTGCCTGAAAACTTTCCCTCTCTGTTCTTCTCAGGCATAAGAAACAGAACTGGCCCCGTTTTCCTGCAAATCTATGGAGTCTTTGCAGTTTGGTGTAGCGGTTAAGTGCGCGGACTCTAATCTGGGAGAACCGGGTTTGATTCCCCACTCCTCCACTTGCACCTGGCTGGATGACCTTGGGCAAGCCGTAGTTCTGATAAGAGCTGTCCTTGAAAAAGAGCCATTTCTCTCAGAGCTCTCTCAGCCCCACCTACCTCACAGGGTGTCTGTTGCGGGGAGGGGAAGGGGAAGGAGTTTGTAAGCCGCTCTGGGACTCCTTTGGGTAGTGAAGGGTGGGGTATAAATCCACAATCTCCTCCTCTTCTTCTTGAAAAAGAGCCATTTCTCTCAGAGCTCTCTCAGCCCCACCTACCTCACAGGGTGTCTGTTGCGGGGAGGGGAAGGGGAAGGAGTTTGTAAGCCACTCTGGGACTCCTTTGGGTAGTGAAGGGCGGGGTATAAACCCAATCTCTTCTTCTTCAGACAAGAGCTTGCCCGTCTGTCCTCAGCCACGGCAAATACCCAGCTGTATTATCCAAAGTGGTAGCAAGAGTCCACCTTAAAGACTAACGAAATTTGTGGCAGGGGAGGAGCTTTCCTGAGTCACTGTGTTAGCCTTTAAGCTATCTGAAGAATACCTTAAAGTGAGCAGTGACTCACGAAAGCTCCTCCCCCTGCCACAAATTTTGTTAGCCTTTAAGGTACTACCGGACTCTTGCTATTTTCTACTGTCACGGACAGGCAAACACAGCAGCCCCTCTTGATCTATCTGAAAAAGTGAGCGGTGACTCAGGAAAGCTCCTAAGGTAAAGGTAAAGGTTCCCTTTCTCGAAAGCCAGTCGAATCCGACTCTAGGGTTGCGGTGCTCATCTCCGTTTCAAAGCCGAAGAGCCAGCGCTGTCCGAAGAAGTTTCCGTGGTCATGTGGCCGGCATGACTAAACACCAAGGCGCATGGAATGCTGTTTACCTTCCCACTGAAGTGGTACCTATTTATCTACTTGCAATTTCTTGCTTTCGAACTGCTAGGTTGGCAGGAGCTGGAACTAGAGATGGGAGCTCACTCCATCATGCGGCACCCGGGTCTCGAACTGCTGAACTACTGACCTTCCACAGCCTGCAGTTCAGCGTCTTAACCACTTGAGCTCCTACCCGGCCACAAATTGTGTTCATCTTGAAGGTGCTCCTGGACTCTTGCTTTTTCTGTGGCTGCAGAAAGATCAGCATGGCTCCCCATCTTGATCTATCTGAAGAAGTGAGCAGTGACTCAGGAAATCTCCTGCCCTGCCATACAGATGATCTATCTTGTTGTATTATCCAAAGCGGAACGGACTGCAAAAAAGATCTAGATTCCATCTAAGACCTCTGCCTGGGAAGCTGAGACTTCAGCAAGACGGGAGTTGGTTGCAAGGCCTTTATTCCAAGCCCCAGGGCCCCCCTGCAGGCATCAATTCCCCCTGAGATAGCAAGAAGGAAAGCAAAACCAAGGCTCTTTGGTAGGGTTTCATTTGATAAGACCCTTCAGGTATTTCCAGCTGTGCTGTGTGTATTCGCAAGCCCTGGTCGGGGCTACAGAGAGAGCACCGATGACCGTCTCGACCCCTGCAAAAA